ACTCTTTCACAATAAAAGTAACTTTCTGATACTTTGAAATAAATATTTATTGATATCTTCATATATCTTTAATTGTTACCTCTTTCTTAATTGCAAATTATCTTAAATCTTCTTTGTTAAGTTTTACAAAAACGTTCTAAAGACTTTGACAAAATATAGTAACAAAGAATATTACACAAAGTATTCACTGTTATTAGTCTCTCTAGTTAGTTGGTCTTGTTAAAGAAGTCAAACCAACATAATAATAGGTTGTCAGACTACTATGCAAGAGGTCTAAGGTTTAAATCCTACTATCAACAGAATTGAATAATTACTTAGACATCTGTACCCAACTTACAGTAAACTCTGTCTGTTTCTGGAGTTGTAACTCTATAAATCACGTTGCACCAATGTTGTTCGGGCATTAGAAGTGTGACAGAATATTGAAGTTGCATTATACGAATAAATTGAGATAGGATCTACAGGCAGAGGATCTGCCTAATAGAAATCCCGAGTTAGATGAAGTAGTATAGATTTCAACAGTTATGCTAGTTAATGTTTGATCTGGTGAAGATTTCTGAGTATGAAGATGCAGATCAGAAAAGGTATAAGTAAGTCTGTGACATTAGATGTTATAGCAACACCAACTTGGCTTGGCAGCTAACTAGATTAAGAGAATCTACTCCATGAAATATTCAAAAAGACACAGAAATCTAATCTAGTAGAGGGTCATGACTAGAACTAGGTTTGTACGAACATTGAATAAGGATATATGCAAGCTAGATTAAAGTATAGTATAACATAGTTGGATATTGTATCACTCATCTATTAGAGGGTATTGAAGTGGAGACTTATCTGATAAGACTCTGAGCTCATAATAGTAAAGTATGTAATATATGTCAGCTTAGGTATTTTTCAAAGTAGAATAGTATAGAGTTACAGTTAACTTAGTAATACATATTTGCGAACATGAGATAGAGCCAGAGAGTTTAAATAGGTAATCTTCTAAGAAGTTACAGGTATAGCAGCTAGTGTAGAACTTTTGAGTGAACTATTTAAAATAGATAACCTAAAATTGTACATGTAGCTAGTTGTACTCTCACAATATATATCACATTTTGTAACTATAATAATCTAATAAAAATTATATCAATAGCATTTGTATTAACAAAAAAAAAAGTTAGTGAATTATAATATGAATTTATTTTTTTTGTAAAGTCTGTAACTTGTCTTTGTATAATATCAGTTCTGCACTACTCTCACTAAATTTAATAACGATTTCAGTAAAAATTTTTTCTATGTATAGAAAATGATTATATATTTAAAGATCAGTTTTCTGTAGAACCTGATCAAAAATATTTCTTACTAGGAATTTAACTGCTAAAGAAAAGATCAGTACTTGTAAAACTTTAAAACAACATGTAAAATCCTATATAAAATTTGATTTCGTGAGAGTAATTTATAAAATCCTGTAAAAAAAAACTTAATTTTATAAGAGCAATACTATAAAAATCTTTATTTTATTAATCATAAATAAATTTTTATCGAATTTCAACTTGAGAGATGACCAATTATAGACATAATGAATAAGTATTAGTTATATAAGTGCATGAGAGTGAAAATCTGAAAACTGATCATAGTAAATCATTAAATTAGTTTTACTCTCATACACTTATATAAAAAACCAATTTTTATTCATCACAAGGTAATTAGTCACTCCTTCTTCTCAACTTCAATAAAGGTCACATAATTAAATTATTTACAACTATACTATACTCATAATAAATATATATTATATAAGTATAGTATGCTAGTTTTATATACTCAAATATGATTATTGTAGTATATACTATTACTTTACTACACTATATACCACTACTATTTGTAATACTATAAAAAAATATTATAAATTTTATAATACCAAGTATATAGATGATTATCATATAAAAGTTAGTTACATACTATACATAGCATTAAAATTTTTTAGTATCTTGAATCTAAGATCTGTTTAAAAATTTTATTCAATTTATAGGATATAGTTAAAATTCATATAATATGAAAGTATTGAGGTTTAGAAACTAACACTAGTTGAAATTTGCAAAAACAGCACTAAATTAGCAAATATTTGATATATTATTTGGCAACTATTTGACAAAATTCAGTAAACATTCAGTAAATATTCAGATGCCATTTGGTATAATTGCTGCCACTCGGCATTTGTGAATGCTAAGTAGCAGTGATTGTACCAAACAGCATCTGAATATTTACTGAATGTTTACTGAATTTTGTTAAATAGTTGTCAAATAATATATCAAATATTTGCTAATTTAGTGCTATTTTTGCAAATTTCAACTAGTGTAAATTAGAAGTAGATTCTTAGCTAAAATATAAAGATCTATTTTCATAATAAAGAATTTCAAAAATAGCTAATTTTTTTTCTATTCCTTTACCACTATCTTTCATAGTTTTTCTAAAAAAAGTAGAAACTTGGTTGTAGTTTTTTTTTCTACTGCAGAACAAGAAAATATAGCTAAACCAAAATATTGATAAAGTTCTATGAATTCAGATATATGATAAACAAAAACATGTATATACAAAATAATATCTTTTAAATAATAGAGACTTTTTTTAAATGACATTGTATTTGATTCACCTTGATAAGGTGTAAGAAATAAGTTGAGCCATTTTTTTGCCTGAATTGCAAAAAATACAGAATTAGTTCCTGGTTGTTTCATAAGTTTGTAAAAAGCATAAAAATCTTTCCACAAGTGATTAATTAGTATAGCTCATTCTTTATTGAAAACAACTTCAAAATTAAACCTATGCAATACTTTTTCTTTATCATTACCTATTAGAGATATATAAGACCAAAATTCTGTATCATAATCCTTCCAAAAATAAAATCTTACTGAAATTCTTGCTATTTCTGTTACAATAATTTCTCTCATACATTCATCAAACCTACTTTCAGATTTGAGTTCTTAGATAACTAAACTCTATAACTGATCCAAAATTCTTAACATAACATAAAGTTTATCAGGTACATAATAGTTTAGAGGGATTATATAAAGAAGATATGATTTTAATTATCTAAGTGGTAGTTTTGTAGTCCTAAGTTGTTCCATACTTTTTTTAATTATATGAACTTTATCTTTTGTACTAATTTTCTTCTTCATGCATAGGTACTAAAAGCAAAAGTTATTCACATTTAGTATATTAAAACCTAAAATTATAGCTAAGAACTTCTAGTTACTACTGAAATAGGGAATAATTTTCTATGTTATTCTAGTATAGTTATCTAGTTTATTTTTTACTAAATTATTTAATTCGTTTACAACTAGTTCTATTACTATTTCTAAACTTTCATAGTTTTCTGTTCTAGGGTATAAAATAATTGTATAATACTAATTAGCATTGTAAATATTTGATATATCATCTAAAATCGCATATATAAGCATAATATACTTAATCTTTCTTCTGACATTACAGCCATCTCCTGAAATGCAGAGATGGATCTTAGGATTATTTGTATTTAAAACTTTTCGATTTACAAGGTCTGAGATTACAAAGAGTAAAATGTCTGTAATTCATCGATAACCTGTTTTACCAACATATTGTAAGACTTCTTCCTCAACTTCTAGATCATTTATATCAGATAGCTCACTTGTTGTTATAAGGAGCATCTTAGTAATGTTTAAAATAGATATTGGAATTTTTTGATCTATCTTTTTATTAATTTTTTTTTTTTTATTTGAAATACTATAATCATGTAGCAATTCATATTGAACTGAAGCCAAGCTATAGTATGCATCTCAAGAAATCAGACTCTGATCAATAACTTTTGCAATTGCTTCAATACATTAATTATCTTCTTTACTTTTATCATAATAATTAACTATGTAATTTTTATCTTGAATATTAAAACAAAGTTCTCGTAAAATAGGTTGATCAATTGAATTATAAAACTTAAGAACTTTATTTTTAAAAGCTATACTGATTTGCATTGAAAAGGCATGAAAACATTTTGTTTTCATTAATTCACTCAATAAATTGAATGGTTTGAAAGAATGCAATTGACTTTTTTTTTTACACTCTTGTTTTACATCTATTAAATTAAGTCTAAATATATATATCCTAAAAAGTTGCCCTTGTGTATTAGGGTTTCTTTTTTATATGTAAAACAAAATATTAGATTTTTATAGAAAAAAAAAATTATAATCATTAAAATATAGTATTTACTTTTAGATATTCATTAGCAATTTTACTTGAAGATTTTTTCAATTCAATTACAACTTTTTGACTATTTTCTTCGAACCTAATTATAAAAATTGGTCTATCTAATTTATATTTAATTTCGCATTCTATCATGTGTTGTGACTTTTCTTTACTCTAACTAGTTTAAACTAAATAATTATCTGGAATTTTGTATTGAGTTCTATCACAAGAGGTATTTGAAGTGTGACATAATATACTTGTTAGTAAATAAAATCCTTTATTAAGAATAGTGTATATATAAGTAGTATTGTTCTATTTAAGTAAAAAAGGATTATTCTCAAGATATTTACTTTGACTAAGAGATATCACAAAAGAAAAAAATTACTATTATTTGATTTATTTATTGTTATATACAGAGTTACTCTTTTAAATGTTCTGATGAAATTTTATGATAATAAAAAGTTTTATGCCATTATACCAGTTATAAAACAAATTTTTTTTTCGTATTGTTCTCTGTTATTTTTTAATTTGTCTTTAGTGTCTTTTGTTAATAACTTAGACCAAGATATTGTCAATTACAAATACTACTTTGTTTTTTGTTTTCATTTTTTTTGGAGAAAATACTTCCTTTCATATTGATATAAAATCTATTACGACCTGTCATATAGTCACCTTATATAGTATTTTTTCTTAATTCAAGAAAAACTAACTGCATAAACTTTATAATGATAATAATGTGTTATGCACATATTCTTATCTGTATAGAATATTAACAATTAGCTATACAATATACACAAAAAATAAAATATAATACAAAAAATATATCGTGAATGATCATGAAATTGAAATTTTTATTTATTTTATTCTGAAATTTTAAAAAATTTTAAGACTTTTTTTATAGTCTTTTTTTAAGATTAGAATTAAGATTTAGGGATAGAGTTGTTAATAAAAGAGTATATGTGGGTTTTAGTAGGCATTATATATTTAAATAGAGACTCTAAAATTTCAGTATTATCTGATTTTATGTATATATGCTGATTTACTTTATTATATAGAAATTCAAATAACATACCCTTATTCAGATTTAATATATGACTGATCAGATTCTCTATATATGAATTCAATTTTTTTGACTTTTTTAGAAAATTACCTAATTTTTGACAGCTCTCTTGTTTGCTTAATAATACAAAAAAAATTTAATTCATATTAAAAATCTGTATTTGTATTAGTATTTACTAAATTTGCAAAATTAGTGAAGAGATTTTTTATATTTTTTATAAACTTATGAAACAACCTGAAACTGATTCTGCATTTTTTACAATTCAGGTAAAAAAAATAGCTTAACTTATTTTTTATATCTTATCAAGGTGAACCAAATACAATGTCATTTAAAAAAAAATATCTAAAGATAGTATTTTGTATATATCTGATCCATACTGGTTAAATTTAAATACCCTAATTATTTTCATTAATAGTCTTCAGTTTGATCCATCTCATGTTATTTATTATTAGCATAATTCTATATTAGTTTCTTCTGCTTTTTATTAATATAATAAATTCTTTTAATTCGAATGATAGTGAAATATGGAGTTTGTTGAGTGTCTAAATTCAATTAGAGTAATAATCAGATAAGGTCATATATAATTTATATGCTAAAAGTTTATCTTAATTATTGATTTGCTAGTAATAAATTTTTAGCACTAACAAAGAAAATGGTACTAGAGAATTATAAAATCTAAAACTATAGTATTGTTATATATCGAAAATAAGAGAATTGATTAGAGTTCAAGAACAAAAAACTCTACTAAAAAAAAAGATTCTAGACTAAGAAATACAACTAGAAACAAGAACTGAAAAGAAAAACAAGCTATTTTCTTTAGAAGATATAGAAGAAAAATATCTTTTTGAAAATTTTTTCTATATTTTGGAAAAATTTTAGAAAATAGTCAGACCTTGAAAATTCTGATCATTTTGGTTATACAATTTACTAAATTAGATAAGCTAGATAAGAAAACAAATCACGTAAATAGAAAACACATGACGCATAAGAAAAGTAAATAATAGAATAGAACACATGCAGATATACATTACACCAAAACCGGACAACTTCTGGGGGGCCACAACTGAAGCACTAAGTAAATTCGAATAATTTACAGGATAGATTAGATTAAATAAAAATAAGATAAAATCTAAAAGATTAAGGAGATTATATGAAGTACGGAAAGTTTAAAGTTCTTTGTAAAAAAAATAACCAAAGAATATGGTAGAGAAATTATCCAAGAAGGCAGCACATCTGTGTTAGGACAAGTTGACCATTTAGATGAAATAGTAGCAAAGATAATGAATATAGACAAAGAGTACGTTATGTTAGCAAGACAGTGGCGTATAGTAATAGAAAAAGCAGCCTTTTGCGAAAGGATAGATAGAGTAAAGATAATCTTAGAACAAGTACAAGAAGTTGGAAACACACAACAAGAGAAAGTGACAGAAGAAATAAAAGAAGTAGAAATGAGAGTAGAAAGTATAACAGTAGCAATAGAGGAGTCACAAAGTGTAAAATCTACAGAAGATAAAATTAAAAGTATAACAACTAAAGAAATAGAAGAGACAAGTACACAAAAAGATATGGAAGATATATGTCTCATAAAAGATAGCATAGAAAATAGTATACCCAAAAATGAAATAGGAGACAAACTCGAAAAACTGTCTGAAATAGGGAAATCAAAGAGTAGTAGTGTATCTTTAGAAAGTAGCATATAGGCACCTAAGGCAGAAACATGCAAAGAAAAAGGAGATTTTAAGGCCAAAGTAGCAGCAGTTAAAGTTCTAGATAATGATGCAGAGCAGAGAGAAAAATCAATTAGATAGTCTTTAAGAGGAAATAAGCATATTAAAAAGATTCAAGATAAGTTTGCAAATAGAAATTTATAGTGTATTATTCATTTCGACTGCAAAAAAGGATATGAGAAAGCCAAACTGAGACTCGAAAGAAAGAAAGAAGACTTCAACTAACTGAATCTTATAATAGAAGAGGATCTTAAGGAAAACAAGAATATAGAGAAAAGTTAGCAGAACAAAAAACAAAACAAGAAAGAGAAGAATTAGCACAAACAGAACTTAACGAAATTCAAAAGAAAAGAGCAATAGTACTTGAGCAACTAGAGAGGGGAGAGTGCTCTGGAAGTAGTACTACTTGAAAAGAGAAAGCTTTAATAACAAACTACGAAGAAGAAATGAAGCCAGTGCAGAAGGTAGACAAAGAAAAAAGAAGAATGTTTGAACAAGAAAATTGGGAAGAAAAGAAGAAAGATTTTAGAAAAGATAACGGTCAAAGCCAACAAAGAAGTTATATATCAAGAAATGAAGAGTCAATTACAGTATGGGATATACCATATCAAACAACAAGAACACAAGTATTTTACACAATAAGACATATAGGAAGAGTTAAAAATATTGAAATGATCCAAAAAAAATGAGGAAATCTTAGAGCAGAAGTAATATTCGAAGAAGGGAGTAGCTTTGTTCAAGGTATAGAAGCTTGGGTTATTCCACT